CTCTGAAGGAGGCGACCGTAGCGAACTAGAATGTGAGAAGCAATCTCGTTAACAGGGTTGTGGGTGTCATTACCAATAACGTCACCATTGTACAATATTCCTAGTTCCTGTTTGAGCACACTTATGTAAAGTGACTTGCAAATGAAAGGAAAATTGTTAGGTGCTTTGTCGACAGGCGTAATAACTAGTGAACGTCATTGACACTGAGCTTGCGCCAAGAGAGTGGAGGAGGTTACATTGCAAAGAGGACGAACATTGATATAGAAGCTATGCAGAAGGCGGCGAGCGTAAAACAGCACATCGTCACGGTAAGACATAGCTCTAGACAATTCTATACGATGTCTGCGGACAAGTAACCGAATTTAAGTTGTGATTGCGGTGGCAAAGTGACCGAAGACGTCAGTGGGATGTAGATTTTGAGGCAAACGGAAATTACAACCTAAATTGAAACAGTGTTCTAGGAAGACGTCCTCTAGTAAGCTTGTGTCGCCGGTAATTATGTGGCCAAGAGGAGGATATACAAATGCGTTGGAACAGGCGCATGGGATGAGATCTAGTGGTTGCACGGCGACTGGAGCCCTGTCAATCGTATTTAGCATGGCAGTGTGATTGCATAAAATCCGCCCTGAGGGGGGAGGGGGGGAAGGGTCATGTTTAAAGGCTATTGTGAAACGGGGTACGGAGATGCCTTCGCAAAAACGCCGAAACGCCGGATTATCAACCAATCGACTGTAACTGACCCGGTCGTAAGCGGGTCCTGGATAGGGCATAACGCCTCGAAATGCCTTATCGTGTACCACGAAATGCTGTGAAAGCCGGAAGCCTAGAAGAGTGGAGGGAGCTGTTCACGTGCCGAAGAAGAGCGCCCAGCAGATTAGATTTATTTACACGGTGGAGTGTGAGAGTAAGAGTTCGGCTGCTTTGATTGTGCAGGCCCCGTACAAAGACTTGAAGTTCAGTGAGGTTGTCGAAGGTCGCAAAGTCAATGAAGCTGTGGTTGATAAATTTAGAAGTTCGACGTCTTCGTCCGTGCCGGCGACTGATCCGCGGGAGCGGTACAGAGAAGTATGGGATAATCTTAGTATCACAAATGGCTTCCTGAGTCACCACACCAAACCCCTTAATGTGGTCGTTTAGACCGGAAGGATAAATAGTCTGAAATAAGCGTATTCAAAAGAGTTCAGCACCAGTCAATTGATGCAAATCGTCTACGACTTCGAGGACTTGAAAGGACATTTCGGACACGGGATGCCCATGCTTGCGATACTGGGTATAGAGGACACTGTTGGAAGTGTCATGACGGAAACAGCGGACATGTTCTAAAATTCTAGCCCGCGAGCAACGTTTGGTCTGGCCAACGTACTGCAGCCCACATCGCTTGCACGTAATGCAGTATACGATACCGCATGTGGAACAGGTAGGAGGGTAGCGGGGTGAGGTGTACGTAGCGATGAAGCATTTCCCGGAAGTAAAACTACGAACATGTTGAGACTGCGAGATAAATGTGCAGCATCTGCAGCTACGCCCACAAGGCATCGTGCGGGGGAGCAAGTAGGTAGGATGGAAGGAAATATCGTAGGAATTGTCGGAATAGGCCACATAGTAAGTGAGGGGAAAGGTAGTGTCTCTTGCACGCGGGCGACCCCGAAAAGTTTAATTCAGCTTCACATTCGTCTAGATCTCGTGTACGGTCAAATGAAAATTTAGGCACGAAAATTATTCGCTCAGTAATCAGAAAAGCCAAATGATTAAAATTTTCAGGAAAATATTCCCTGCCCAATTATGATCTAATTCCGTCCTCCCTCATGCTTGGATTTCACAAGGCAACGTGAAATTTTTGGAGTTAAAATTAGTATTCCGGGAACCATGAGAGTCAGGAAGCTGAAATTTCGGAATAGTGGCTCAACGCTCATATAGATTCAGCTCCTGCGCAGCCCTAAGTCCCGGTGTGAGTACGCGAAAAGTTTTGGCGTCAAAATTAATAACTCAGGAACCACAATAACTAAGATGCACAAATTTTAGGAGTATACTCTCTGCTCGCGTATAAATTCATGCCTGCACATTTCTCGGCCTCATGTGCAAAGTGATGAAAGTTATGGCCCCTAAATTAATAACTCGGGTACTACAAGGGCTAGGAGACTGAAATTACAGAAGAATGTTCCTCGCCGGTGTATGACCCATAGATTTAGAATCCGTCTTTTTGCGTTCTCCGGTGTCATGATGGACGTGCGGAAGTTTTGGGGCGAAAATTTTTAGCCCAGGAACTAGAAGAGCTAGGAAACTGAAATTTTAGGGTGATGTGCATTGCCGCTTACCCGTAGAATCAAATTCTATCCTCTCCTTCGCATGCCCAGATCTCACGTAGAAAAATACGAAATTCTTGACGTCTAATTAATAACTCAGGGATATGAAGGCCGGGGAGCTGAAATTCAGAATGATGCTCCTATCCTCATACACATTAGTTCTTGCATACGCCAAACTCTCGGGTATGGTTACGCGGAAGTCTTGGCCTCAAAATTAAATTCGGGAACCACAAGAGCTAGGAAGCTAAAATTTCAGAACAGTGCTCATGTCGCGTAAAAGCGAGT